CCCCAAAACCCCAAAACCCCTTAATCATAGAATCAATAATCAGGTAGAAAAATAAATCTTATTGCAATTAGAATGATTACAAATAATCAATAAAATTCTTCATCATTTTCTAAGTCATAGCTTTTTAGCTTCAATAATATGCTATAATTTGCTGGTAGTTAGTCAAAAGCTTGAATTTTAATCTATTACTCCTCATGATTATTAGGATCATCGTCAATAGAAATGTATGAAGGCAAATTTTTGATAAACAGATTGAGCCTCGCAGTTTCAATTCCATTTACTATCTTATGATTATAGTTGTAATATTCTAAATCTTCAGGTATTTCCAAGTATCCACAAAACTCTAATTCCACAAAAGTTCCTGGCAACTTAACTACTGAAACCTCTGTGCTTGATTATCTCTCATAGGGATACTCAACTTTACAAATCAAGAAATAAATGTCAAAATTTTAGTGCTTTAATGTTCTAGCAAACTTCCTTGTCATTGTAATTATATTATCTTATCTCTAATGAAACATAGATACATATTAATCATATTGATTAAATTCTTCATGTATTCTGTTCATCACCTTTCTAATGTAGACTAAATTATTATGAGTGACATCCGACTCTTCATTTTTGATGTCGAATTTACCCTTTACTTCAATAAAATTATTATTATCTCCACATCCATTGTCGACCATTGGCAATGATGTCTCACAGCTCCAATACTAACCGCCATTTATTACAAATTTATATTCATATTTGCCAATTGGTAGTTCAATGTCTGTTTAGAAAACACCATTGACTAGTCTAAAAATATGTTATATATTTTAATTATTTGGAACTTACTTTAGTTAATAGATTGGCATCCAATTGGTACAGCTTAATGCAAGTTCTATTGTTTTTTCGAGTTTACTTTTTTGCTTATAGAAAAAATGCACTATTTACTTATTGCATGGTCTAGGTTTAGCAATTTGCTTGATACTTTTCAATTTAGCTATTTCTGAGAGCATTGGGGAATAATCTACTTTTGGATACAGTCTCCTCTCATATACAACTGAAGGTTATTTGGGAACAAATATATCAAATCCAAAAGTGGTAGCAATGGCGTTTCCACTCATTCCATTCTAATAATGAGGAAAAGTTATAAATTACCAAAACTAAGTGAGTAAAAGCAAGGGAGGGCTGTTTGCTGTATCTATCAATGTATGATGGATTGTCATGATTACAGTCAAATATTAAGGATTTTATATCTCTTGATTAAATTTGATTCTTGTTGATTGCTGTCTGATTGAAGTATTCGCATCCAAAATTATGATATACGAATCCTGCCATTTCATCACATGAATTAGTCTGAATTTTATTACTACTATTAATTTACACATTAGAGATCTCTCAGTAGATGGTTCACTCCAAGTTACTTGACATATTAGAGTTCAGATTGTTTAGAATCACAAAACAGCTCTGCACAAACATAGAGATTTGGATTGACGTTTCTTGCCTGATTTATCATATAAGTGGCTAAAGGAAGTGGAGTATTATGAGCATTATCTAGTCTAATTCCATCAAATATTTAAGCCATTGATTTGACATAGTTAGCCATGTAATTCCATAGATAAGGGGAGTCACTAGGCTGATTTCCATATCTTAGTTTAACTGAGTCACCCCAACAAATTGCAGATCTTCTTAAGTGATGCCAGTGATCCTTTCCTCCATATTCTTCCTAAAAGAAATATTCAATCAATAAAGAGTACAAAAGGATTCTGATTCGGAATATATCCTGCATTTAATGCCCTAGTTTTATCATCATTTAATAAGGTAGAGAAATAAGGGGTCACTAATGTAACTCTATCAGTTAACTAGAAGATATTTATGCTATTGAAATGTTTATACCTTAATATTCTTGAGTTAGATCTTGTTGTATCTGACATCTTGTTCTATATTCTTGATTACTTCACTCATGTAATCTCCGATTTTTACTCGCCAAGTTTCATTGATAACATTCAAAATATCTGCGAATTCTTCCAGAATCTGCTTCTTAGGTTTCTTTAGACTTTCATCAATAATTAAATTAGAAGCGAATTCAAGATCTAAAGTTACCCCATATCTACTTTCTCCATGATTATTCATATTCCTAATCAATAGATCTATTTCTGTAATAGTAAAGCTTAAATTTTCTCTGATTATATTTCTTATAGCTTAGTTGTAGGTACTTTTTGGATCAATATTAAGAGGATCTTTCATATATTGCTCTAGTTTCTTAACATGCTCTGCTACATTTATCTAAAAAAATTCATGCATATAGAGCTTATCTATAACTTCAACTTTTAAGGCTCTTAATAACTGTTATAAGTCACTTTCGTTTTCAATATAGGGAGCTAAATAATAGTCATATTGTGAAGGTATATACCTCTTACACATGAACTAATTTTACAATTAGCATAATCATGAGAAAATTTGAGTATCGCTTGATCCAGTTAATGAGCAGCATACAACCAAGGGCAATTGCTTAAATTGTAAGTGACTTCAGGATGTTTGGCTACCCAATCTGAATTCCTAGCAGAGTGATTCAAGACAATATCCATTATAAATACCCAACCCTACTCCTACTTTAAATTATCTATTGTCGCCTTTAGCAATTCAAGTTGCTCTTCTTATGCTAAATAAGATTCAAAGTATATGTCATCTAATCGATTATGATCAGCAATAGAGTAGAGACTTTGTGAGACACCGTATTACTGGATTGGAGTGAGATGAATAGTGTTGTATCCAAGTTATCGTTAAGTTTAAAGGAAACCTTCCCATTAGTCTAACTTTCCCATACATCTTGACAAAACTGTCAAAACTGACAGCTAGCGTGTGTTTAATTAAGAATACTATAAAATAGTCTCAGAAATTATTAATAAATTACTCTATTTTACTGGTGGATATCAAATCTAGGCTCAACAATCAAATATTGAGGATCTGTGTATAGTGTAGATTGAGTTATTTTATCATAGTATTCTATTTGGAAGAAAAAACTTCCAGCATAGGTTAGTTTCAAAATAAAAACGTATTTGCTAATTGAAGAAGTCCTATCTGGTTCATAAATATCTAATTCATCTGATATGCCACTTGACTGTGATAAAATTTGTTGTTAATCTGAAACTGATGGTAAATCAATTATAATGTTCTATTCTAAGTAAGAGCAACACAATCTTTACAGTTTTTGGTAAGGATTTATTGTATTAGAGTCCATTGATTGATTGCTGAGGTAAATTTATTAGTAACTTGCAATTGTTTGAGATTTGAGACTATGGTTTGATTTGAACATGCAATTCCGTTCCACAGTCAATGTAAAGTAACTATATAGTTTATTTTTCGGTATATCTTACTTGATAAGGCTTATTTATAGGAATCATTCCATCCTCATCTAAATTAACTTTTATTTGTTGCTTGATAGATTCCATTTTAAATTTTAAATATAATAGTTTACAATCAAATACAATTTTAAAAATACAGATTTACCAAGTTCTTTATTAAATCTAATCAGATGGGGTTTTGGGGTTTTGGGG